CCCCTTTATTATTTAGAGTCGTACGAAGGAGGGGAAATTCCCTTTTACAAATTTAGGCCGTGATGTGGTGGTGAGCTAGTCTCCCTGCGCCCCCGCTTCATCGTTGCCCCTGATCTGTGAATGGGGAAAATTTTCTGTAGTGCCAAAAATCTCATTTTATAGTTTTGTTTCTCGCAGTGTATCCATCCGGAGCTAGAGGGGGGCCCAGCGCCGGAGCAAGGCGAGGCCGTGGAGGACAACCAGGACCAGGACAAACTCGCCGTCCTGGCGGCGGCGGCCGCAGCAGCCCCGGCGGCAGCGCCGCTGGAACTCGATAGTGACAGTGACGCCGAAACGGTGAGAATGATTCAATTTTTGAGGCGGTTTTCATTTGTATTGAAATTTGATTGGTATCTCTATTAGGTGGAAAGGGTGGGGGGCTGCCTTGTTATCAAGCAGCCTCTCAATTTTTAGAATTTGTTGCTTTTATGTTTCAACAGATCGCGTCATGTTCCGAGGATGACGAGGGAAAAAGAGCAGGTGCGCCCTGCGGAAGTCCCCGCCGAAGCGGAATGCCGTGTTTGCGCCGAACCGGTTTCATGGCTGCGCCCCCCGGGGCCATCAAAGGGTGCCAGCACACTGACGTGACGCACCTCCCTTGCCTCCGGAGGTGGGTCATCGCGAACGGGAGGTGCTACCTTTGTAAAAGGTTGGTGTACGCCAGACCGTGTCGTGTCGTAACAGGCTTCGCGATGCTGCGCCAGTTTTGACAGTACACGCCTGGCGTATACACCTACCATGGCCTTGCTTTGCTGGACAGACCATAAATGAGCGTGATCCCCTCAAAAATCAGCATTTGGTCATGAAAATCTACACTAATGGGTCTTAACTTTGGGGTCGGGGGGGCCAAAAGGGTCCTATTGCCATCAGCAGCCTCAAAAAAATAGAAAACGACATTAAACTTGACAAAATGTCGATAAAGCTTACAAAGCTGACTTTTTTCTACAGCTTTCTTAGTGTTTTTTGGCTAATAAGACCGAATGGATTGAGATAGAAAGCTGAATTTGGTGTGTGGGCGAGCCAAGAACATACCTAATGACCCCGCAAAATCTCAGGCAGACGTTACATTCAATGGCATTGATTATAGGCCTAAACTCTTTGAGTGTGGCTACTGATAGGCTTCAGCAATGATTGAGGTTTAAAAGATAGGCAAAATGCATGTATCACTTAAAACGTTACAAAAAGGAAGTGCGTAAAATTTCGAATTTTTTTTTAAGCTAATGTGGGCCCAAAATGCTTTGTTATAACGAGCTTCTATTGCTCTGAGGCACTAAGTAGTTTATTATGTTGTCTGCGATATTTTTGCGTCATTTCAAAGGGAAAAAGCAAGCGATCAGTTTTTTCCCCCCCGCTACCAGTTTACAAACAAGGGACGGTGGTGAAACCCTGTGCCAAGGGCTTTCATGTGACTTTGGCTTGTCTCCGTAACGGCTAGCTACCCAACAACGGTAACCAGACTCAAAAGGGAAAGGGATCAAGAAAGGACATTCAGTCAGGATTACTAAGCAAACTATACAGATAAAATTTATAATCCCGCCGTAATTTTAAAAAGAAACATTTTTTTCAGACGACTATTTTTTGTATGAGGGTGGCAGTATTGGGTTGTCAGATATTTAGCAAAAACTGTTAGATATCATCACCACGCTCCCTTAGTGCCTTCTAAATATGGATTTTTTTTTAAAGGGTGACACGCATCATTTTTCTACCCTTCTCTTTTGTTACAGATATCATTTGTCAGATGGAGGCTGACAAGCACATTGTCCGGTTCGGGGAAAATCAGAGAATGTGTCGGGAAATCAAGGCACCTAGTCCACGCCAGCAAGAAAAGGGGGAAGGGAAATCAAATTCGACGCCGATATCGCTCACTTGAAGGCGAAATTCAAAAACCGGTTGTCCCACCCCATTTCCTGGACCAAATGACTTTCAGCATCCGCAAAGAACTGGAAGTCCTCAGGATTGGGACGACAACAACCCTTAGGGTTAGATTCTGTATTTTGAATTGAAAGTTTGATGGCAGCCCTCGTGTACTTTTTCTTCGGGAAGTTTGGCGTCATGCTGTTTCTTTCTTCGATTGCTTCGCCATGGATGTGCCGGCTATCCTCACTCTGTCTTTCGAGGCGCATGAACACCTTAGGCGTAAAGAAGAACAGGAAGAAGAACATGGCGGCGGGGTGGCGGAGCGTAGTGCCGTCTCACAACAAAGCAGAAAGGCGGCGTGTCCGTTGGCGCGAAGGCCGCGAAAGGCCGTTTTTACGTGATTCTAAGCAGATTGAACGCGTGTTTGATTATTTTTAAAGTTTTTTCCTGTCGCGTCCGTTGTTACAATAACCTTTAAGTGAAACGGGCGAATATTTGACAAATTCCGTAAGAATGTAGAGAATATGTGGGCTGTAACTGCAAAGCGACAGGTCAGTGACGTGATTGAACTGTGGTTTATCTGTTCACGGGCTATTTTATTTGACAGTCCATTTCAATAGTACCCAATTTCTTCTTCTAGACGCAAGAATATCCGTCAGTCTGCCAGATATGTAACTAGTTTACAGGTTAGGTTTATTTGTGGATCGGCTTACAGCAATGGCTGACGGTGACTATGTGTACTCACAGGTAAATATGAGTTAATAAATAGTTTTATCTAAATGTTTTATACATCCAAGTGTTAAAAAAAATTTTCCTCGCTTGCAGGATGTTGGACCTCGTGGTATGATAAACATAGGTGTATTTACCTGTTACATAAATGCCTCAGTTCAATTTTTCTTGGGTTGTGAGGAGCTCAAGAAATTCTTCTCCTCAGGGAAATATGAATCGCATATCAATGCCAAGAGCAAATTTGGTGGTAGGGTAGCCCACGCATTTTCTGAAGTTGTACGGGAACTTGACAGACATTCAAGTGGGGAACCGTACCATGGTATTGCTTTTCTGGTAAGGGCCCGTCATGGTTTGTATACCGTAGTTGCATTTGTTGTGTGGCGCTTGACTTGATTCGATATTCGTTCACAGGATGTTATTCAAAAATCATGGTCACACTTTGTTTACCTGCGTCAAATGGATGCAATGGAATTTATACAATTTATTTTGGAAGCACTCCATGAAGACCTCTTGGTTCGTTCTCATTTCATATTTTTCTTGGCCTTCATTTTATCTGAACTCTTCGATTATTGACTGAAATTCTGATCATAAAGGTCAAGTCTTCTTCAAAAGATGAAACATACTTGAACGGAGACCCGGTGCAGGATGCAATAAACTCTTGGAATGCTGGGGCAAAATCCTGTATTTCACATCTGTTCCACACACAGATTGTATCCTTCAGAATGTGTTCTAGTTGTGGAGTTTCAAATGGGTCATATCCCATTAGTGATGTACTTGCTCTTCCTCTATCACAAAAAAATGGAGCCACAATTGAGGTAAGTCACACTCAGTGTGTTATTATTTTATCATCTTCAGGAAAAATAAATTTAATTTATTGATTCTTTTGATTAGGATTGTTTGGACGAATTCTTTGCCGAAGAGATTGTGGGAGATGCTAAGTGTAGCGTCTGCAACACTCCTGGTCTCAAGATACGCCAAATCTTAGGCAGACTTCCACCATATTTTATCATACAACTGAAAAGGTAATTGCATTACTGTTTGATTAGTTTTTTAGTGCTTTGTATTTCTTCCTTATTCTTTTGGAGTTTTCTTCTTTTCTTTTCATTGTTTTTCTATGGCTTGCCTGCTTGCATTGTTAGGTTTGTTCGGCATTGGGATGGCTCCTTTAACAAGAATTCTAAAGAAATTAGTTTCACAACCACCCTTGATTTAGCTAACTATACCATAGAAGAGCTTCAAAATAATGGGAGGTACTACTTGGTAGGGGTTGTCAATCACCAAGGTAAAAAAAGAATGCATGAGGGCCATTACATCGCCACAAGCAAGAGAGGAAATAGGTAACTTTCCCCACTAGATATTGTACCTATAAATGTCACCCTTTCTGCCATCCCCTTTTTGCCCCTCTCATCCTGCCATCCAACTTTTATTCCCATTCTCATTTGGTGCTGTTAATGATTCCCTAACATTTCACGATGAGTAATACCTGTCAATATTGTCCATTCATTTCTACATTTCATGACTAGGTGGTACAGCTTCAATGATACCAAGGTGTCAAACACGACATCAAGACATCTTTGCACAGATGACAGCTATGTGTTGATTTTTGAGAAGGACTTGAAATACGAGGGACAGCTCCCTTTTGACATCCCTGAATCTTTCTCTTGGGATAATTTTGCCAGAGAATTTGTAGGACACTTCTGCATCTTCTTTCGATTGCTGAAAATTCTCTACCACAGGGTCATTTTTATAATTCATTTTTTTGTCCCCAACAGGGTGAAGATGTTGATAAGAACGTCTCTGGTGATATGTTCAGTGAGGAGCCAGCACAATTCCCCCCTTTTCAGTCCCTATCTAATGAGGCGTTCCATCCAAATGAAGATGAGGCCTCAGACGACTTCCATGATTCAGTGACTGGATCTCTGAGTCCTGAAATTTTCCAATGGGACAGTGATGAAGACATCTTCCCCAAGTCGACTGCAAAAGTGAACAAAGTAAAAAAGTTTGTCAAACTGGACCAGCTTGATAACAATCTGGGGCTGTCAAAAATTATTGACGATGCAAAAGGAGCAGAGGTGAACATTGCCAATGAATTTGACAAATGGGATGAGCTTGATAACCATCTTGGTCACTCTGGAATTATTGATGACACAAAAGGTGATACTGAGAATTTTATTTGTCAAAAAATTTCCAACATCCAGGTAAAGCCTTTATTTGTACTTCTCCTTTTCAAAGTTCAGCTTCCACTTGTGTTAGAATTAAACTAGACCCATTCTGCACAGGTTCATGAAGATAATAATTCTACTGAATATGTACAGCAAGTTCCAGAATGTGACCACCCCAACTTTGACCTTGATGTTTTGGACCCAATTCTGACGGAGAATGACATACCAGGGGCCAAACTTGACTTGAGCATTATAGAAACCTACCTTAAGCCTCAGATGAAGCTTTGGCTACAAACTCGTGGCTTGCCTGTTAAAGGAAGAAAAGCACAATTAATAGAGAGGTATTGTGGATTTTACATGTAACACATATACCTCCCAAGTCCGTGCAGTGCTCTTAATTATCCTTTTTCTTTCAGAATACGTAATCACAAGGAAAGGGCCTTTAAAATAGACCCTGCGTATGATAAAGGGCAAGCCTACGAAGCCAAAAGGAAAAAAATCATGGCAGAAGTTAGTTGATATTCATTCCTTGTGTCATGAAGATTAATGACCTATGTCAAACTATATTTTTAAAACTGAATCTTTACTTATTTACAGCTTGACAATGGAAGAAAACAAGCCCCAATGATGCCTATTGGAGCTTTATGGAAACCCTTTCCCAGTGTCCACATTCCAAACAATTACTCTAGCAGTAAGGCAAGAGACTATCTGGAGAGAATACCAGAAGTAAGATTTTCATATGCAGAGGGAGTGATCTTGGTGAAGGATAAAGAAGGGGAGACCAGGGAGACCACTGATGACGAGGAAGAAGACGACCTCTATGATTTTTCCCAACCCACACAAGAGGACAGAAAAAAACTCTTTGTTGATGGTACTCTGAAGCGTGCCAATAATTTCATTGATAGTGGAAGAGTACTGTCTGTCCTTGACTGCCAGAGGGACACACATTACTTTGTCAAAGCCCAGGTCCAGGCATCGTTGAGAAACAAATTCTTTACTGTCCAAATTATGATGGCGAAGGGCAGTGGTTCCATCTGCTTCACTGACTGCCAATGCAAGGCAAAGGCTTTAGGAAGGTGCTGCCACATTATGGCCGTCCTTCTCCTTATTGGACGTCATGTAGCCAACAGAGGCCATGAAGGTAAGATTCCATTAAAACTGTACAGTAAATTATTTTTTATTACAACATAAAATTACTTAGAATATGCATCAGTCTGACATTACTACATTATCATATTTACAATCAGAGCAAGTTAAATAATTTTAAAGTAGGAACAGAGCTACTTATATCATAAAAGATGAAATGACTTTAGTAAAGCTCATCATCATTATCCAGACGAATGAAAGGATATTGGAAGTTTACAAGCATTGCACATACTTTGACCAAATCACTAGCAATAGCAAGCATTGAGTTTGGAATCACATAACGAATCAATCTGAAGTCTTTTACTTTCCCAATGTAAGTTTCCACATGTACCCTGCTTTGAGCAATGGCTCTAGACCAAATAAGTTCTCTTGCTGTAAGGTTATTTCTCTCCTTAACAAATGAAGGGATTAGTAACTGCACATCTAATTCATCACAGACGTCTTCTATGTCAAAGCCCTTGTCAGCCATAACTGCATCTCCTGGCTCTAGGAGCTGGAGGAAGCCACTTTTTTCTGTAATTCTACGATCAGAAATGCATCCTTCATACCCCTCACTTATGTAAGAGAGGCCTCCCATACATGATATTCCTATAAGGAACTTAATGGTGTTTGCACCCTTGTACTTAGAATAAGAATTTCTTCGTTGCTCCAGATTATCTGGCCTCTGGATACGAAACTCTGTGCAATCAATTATCACCCTAAGGTTTGGGAACGGTTCAAAACAAGCTGGACGCATCCCGTCTTGAGCTGCGGTACTAACAAACATCAGCTCTTCCAATTTCTGAAATTCAAGGGACATGACACGAACCCATGTGTACACAATTTTTGATGAATGCCCTTCACTAATGTTGAACAAAACTTTAAGGTCTCTAAGGGGGATACCCCTTCTTTATCGGAGCAGGGTCATGAGCAGTTCATCTCGTGGTGTCAGTTCACCTCTGAATCTCATTCCTTTAGGAGTGTTACGATTATACTTGTATTTAAATTTACAACAAATTTCTTCACCTCCCAATAATTCATACACCACTTCAAACATCTCTTGAGTCAGACTAGTGTAAAATTGGAAGTCTTTTTCTGAGAGTAGTTTGCATCGATCGTAGCACAGGAAACTTCGGTTGCATTGTATTCCAATGGAGCGTGTTTGTTTCGCCTGGAAACAAAAAAATCATTGTTAACATGTTTTTTTCTTTTTTTGCAGCTGTGACATGCACTGGCAGGGAATGCTACTGGCTGGCTGCTGGGGAAACACTGGAAAAGCGCCCTGGTGTTGTGCGGAGCAAAGACGAATATTATTTGAAGACAAAGTTTCACAGGCAAGGGCATTTTGACCCTCGCCCTACCAGCCAACAAAATAATGATGACAACACAAGAGTAGAGAAATTAATTACATTAGTTTCAAAAATGCCTCAAAAGATTTTATGGTTTTATCAGCTACAACCAAAGCCGGAGCAGCAGCGCCAGCGGCCTGCTGTAGAATGTGAGGAGTATCCTGATCCTGCAATGACTGAAAGACTAGCTGAAATGTGCTCCCATCTCCTTTGGAATTTGAACCAAATCAGGCATCAATCTACAAATCAACCGTTGCACCTCTCAGGAACTGAATCTCAGTCAACCAGTGCTTCTTGGTTTTCTCAACGAGCAGTGAGAGCCACTGCTTCAGTCGCCAAACAGTTTCTGGGGCTCCTTTCCACTAATTCAACACCTACTGGAAAAATTAACTTTTTCCGTTATCACCTGTGGGGAATAAGCAAGTTCCCTGAAGGAAAAAGGATGGGACCTAGAGCGAAGAAAGCAAAGGAAGCAATGGAATATGGAAGTGCAATGGAAGGTAAAGCAAGGAGAGCGTACATTCAATCATTGAAGGAGGTCGACCCTAGCTTGGATGTGATAGAAACTGGCATGTGGGTGAACCCAAAGTATCCAATGCTGTCCTGCAGCCCAGATGGAGTAATTGTTGACGTGAATGGATTTTTGAAACTTCTCGAAATTAAATGTCCTGCAGTGTTGAAAGGTATCGACCCAGCTAAGTTCGAAACACTTCCCAAAAACCAACTGAAGTCCTTCTGCCTCAAACGTTGCCAAACCACTGGGAAAATTGAGCTTAAGAGAAACCATAAGTGGCACTTCCAAGTTCAAATGTCCATGGACATTTTAAAACTGGATAAGTGTGACTTCATCGTTTTTTCAGAGGTGAACAATGAGCCCAAGTTTTTGTGTGTCGAAGTTACTTATGAAGAGGCCTTTTGGCATGAAAAGAGAGAAAGACTGATAAGAGCCCACCGAGAAATGCTGGTGCCAGAATACTTCTTATGTAATGCAGTGTTCCAAAAGCCAATCCTTCAAATGGTGTACACTGCATTTCATGAGGAGCATGACGACCCACATTTCTGGTACGGCTGTGACCCTGACTTCGTTTTTCCTGCGGAAAATGAATCCGAAGTACTGATTAATGTTCCAATGTAGGTGAATTCATTTATTGTGTGCCTTCCTCTTTTATATTTTTAACAAGTATCTTCAAGACTAAAGTGAACAGTTGGACCATCTGAGTTCAACAACTGTGTAGACTTTATTGAATTGATCTTTATGTTTGATATCTCTTTTAAAAAAAAATAATTTATATGTATTTTATATGACACAGAGTACAACACATTGTGATGTAATTATTGTTAGGTTTATCCTAGTCAAATGAGTAAGTTAATTTGAAAAGAGAAATAAGTACTGCATTCAGTCATAGCTGTACTGTATCACCCACTACTTTGTGTGAAGAATTTCACATTGTGATGTAATTATTGTTAGGTTTATCCTAGTCAAATGAGTAAGTTAATTTGAAAAGAGAAATAAGTACTGAATTCAGTCATTGTACTGTATCAACCACTACTTTCTGTTAAGAATTTATACTGAAATTGATGTTATGCATTACCTAAAATGTAGAACACAGTACAATGATTGAGGACACATTAGATGCAATTGGATTCTTACCTCCTGTCCTAAAGCAGTCTCATTACATATTTCTGCAATAGAGGAGGGTTCCGTTGTTGAAAATGGTTCAAGAATGATGTCTTGGTCTACTCTTTTCTCTTTGTCAGTCTTCTTTGGTGTGGAAGAAGTAACGCCTGGATCAGTGTTCATCTTGTTCATATTTTCATCGTATTGTGCACTAGGAATATTTTCATCAGTAATGATGCTGCAACCCAAATCATCATCCTCATGCAAGGCATTTTGAGAGCCGCTAAAATCCTGAGTAAATTAAAAAAAAAAAACTTGTGGCAAACAAACACAAAATGCACTTCTAAAATATTAATTTAAAACTAAATACTAACCAGCATCCGGGTAAAATTTCTTCTAGCTGACAGGCGCACAACATTGGCCCGTAACGACCAATGACTTCTCTTAGGGGAATAAGTAGCCCATGAAGAGGGCGACAATACTTCCTGCAAGACAAACATTATCCAATTATCAAGTATCGCAAGTATCGTACATAAGAGTATTTATTTAATATAGCCAACCAAATTACCTCTTTGATGTCTGGCTGGAGATCTTCTTCCTGTTCTAGTGCCTCTTTGTTTTTTACTGGACTAGGGTCCACAGTGGCCTACAAGAGCAGTCAAATGAAAAATAAAAAACATGCATATAAATTAATCGAATTTTTACTTTAAAGAAACCTGCAATAGCAAAATCTCACCAGACACATGAGAGCATCAACTGCTTTCTGCGTAGTTGGAGTTATACTCAAAATTCTGCTCTTGCGTGCTGGTGATTGCAGACTTTCATCAACTATCTGTATAGTTGGGACAGATGTTTCAGTTTCACTAAGCTCATAAGCAGCAGACCAGTATTCTTCACACTAGTTCCTTACCTTCACAGGAGTTCTTCCTCTACGTCGTTTTAGAAAGGGACCATCATTGTCACTCTAAGGAAGTACGCAAAAATGTCTTAAAACCCAGAAATCTTAGAACAAATGGTAAACGAAAGAAATTACGCACATCGTACTCTTCAATGTATTCTACTGGCATGGAGTCCTTCCCTTTGCCGTCAGGGAAGTGGCAAGAGCAAATGGTCCAGCTGGATAGTAATTTTTTGGGAGTGACTTTTTCAGTCCCAGCCAAAGCTAGCCACTGCCCCGCCACAATTGGATTTTTTGGGAAAGTATGAAACTGGCAAGTTTTTTCGGGCATGCTCTGGTGATGACCACAATTTTTGTAAATACATTTTCTGCCTTTTCTCATTGTAGCTAAAAGAGAAAATATAATGAAAAGACAATATCGTGGACAGAAAATACACATTTTACGAAAGAAACCGACGACTAACCTGTAAACTAGTAAAAAATCTCGCTGAACGAAGGTTATTTTAGCAGCGATTCTCAAATATTCGCCCGTTTCACTTAAAGGTTATTGTAACAACGGACGCGACAGGAAAAAACTTTAAAAATAATCAAACACGCGTTCAATCTGCTTAGAATCACGTAAAAACGGCCTTTCGCGGCCTTCGCGCCAACGGACACGCCGCCTTTCTGCTTTGTTGTGAGACGGCACTACGCTCCGCCACCCCGCCGCCATGTTCTTCTTCCTGTTCTTCTTTACGCCTAAGGTGTTCATGCTGTGCGCTGCCGTCACGCGTCGCCCTCGTGGCACTGAGACCATGTGAGTACTCCTTGATTTGTGTAGTGCCTTGTGGCGTCCTTGCATGTGTTGCATGTTCCTTGCCGTGCCCTGTGTTATAGTTGAGAGCATGTGGCCATGATGGTGAGGAGGGTAGGCTTCCCCCATGCTATGAACAAGAATCCCCTGCCGATGGCATAATTGAGATTCAGGAGTGGGACTCGGTCCCCCTTGAACAGACTTGCCCCTAGTTTCTGTGTCTGTACTGTGGGTGCAGGGTGATGGTGAGTTGGCTTCGATCTTGGGTCAGTGTTTGCGGGTTACGATTGCCTCAGCATCGGCTGCAGCATCAGATGGTGCCGCCCACGCCGCCCCACCAGCCCTTCCCGCATCAGCCACCGAAGTAAGCATTCCCGAGGAGCACATAATAATGAGAGAACTAGTGAGAATAGTGAGAACTAATTTTAGAGGCGGTTTTCATTTGTATTTAAATTTGATTGGTATCTCTATCAGGTGGAAGAGGGTGGGGGACTGCCTTGTTATCAAGCAGCCTCTCAATTTATGGAATTTGTTGCTTTTATGTTTCAACAGATCCGCGTTATCTTACGATGATGATGAGGAAGAAGAGCAGGTGCGCCCTGCGGAAGTCCCCGTCGAAGCGGAATGCAGTGTTTGCGCCGAACCGGTGTCATGGCTGCGCCCCCCGGGGGCCATCAAAGGGTGCCAGCACACTGACGTGACGCACCTCCCTTGCCTCCGGAGGTGGGTCATCGCGAACGGGAGGTGCTACCTTTGTAATAAGGTTGGTGTACGCCAGACCGTGTCGTGTCGTAACAGGCTTCGCGATGCTGCGCCAGTTTCGACAGTACACGCCTGGCGTATACACCTACCATGGCCTTGCTTTGCTGGACAGACCATAAATGAGCGTGATCCCCTCAAAAATCAGCATTTGGTCATGAAAATCTACACTAATGGGTCTTAACTTTGGGGTCGGGGGGTCCAAATGGGTCCTATTGCCATCAGCAGCCTCAAAAACATAGAAAACGACGTAAAACTTGACAAAAAGACGATACTGCTTAAAAAGTTGACTTTATTCTACAGCTTTTTAAGTGTTTTTTGGCTAATATGACCGAATGGATTGAGATAGAAAGCTGAATTTTGGTGTGTGGCGAGCCAAGCACATACCTGATGACCCTGCAAAATTTCAGACAGATCGGCCGAGCCGTTCAGGAGGAGTAGTGCGCACAGACACACGCACACACACACACACGCAGACTGAAAAAGTTTTTTAACACCACGGGAGTATCGGGCTTCGCTATCTCTCAGCCAATAAGAAGGCAACCGTCACCATGGTTCGATGAACCACTCCTTGATGCAATTGGGTACTTGGGAGAAAGCCTGGACCGGAAGTCAGCGATGGAACGGGAGAAACAAAAGAGCGTCGCGCGGCTGTGCTGAGCGGTGGCGGGGGCCGGGATGAGCGCAGTGGGGGAACCATGCGAGCACCGCCCTGAAAGCACACTCCCATCTTTGAACAAAACTGATCTAACACCATGAAGATTCAAAATTTTGCCGTTTGAGGGTACTTACTCTTCATCTTGCGCTGTTTAGAGGCATTAAAGGACGCGTCTTGCCGTTCCTCCGTAAATAATGGCGTTCTCAACCTCCTTCTGGCACCTGTGGCGACGCTTGCGTTGCGTTGTGAAAAAATATAAGAACAGGAAAGATGACAAATTCAACGGCAAGTGACTTGCTTCCGACTCCTGGACCTTGTTGCGACGCAGGACTTCGTTGCGACGCGGTTTGAACGCGGGGACTATATAGGGTACTTCGGAGGGAATCCTGACCGGAAGTTCGCGCCAGAACGGGAGGAACAAACGAGCATCGCTCGGCCGTGCTGAGCGGTGGTGGGGGTTGAAATCGTCGGAATGGGGGTGCAGGCGGCGCGCGCACGTTACCCCCTTGGAAAGCTGTGCTTTTTCTAAAGCACCAGTTAAGTCCTTCCCCTTCTGAGTCATGAAAAAGGCAATGGCTCCCCCTTTCGCCTGAGCTTGTTTATGGAGAGTAGAAACTGTGTAAGAACACGGGAGTTCTGCTCCAACTGCTTTGTGATGAGCCTGGAACAAATTCATGGCAGACGCCATTGTCTTCTGCCTTGTCTCGTGATCTGCCTTTAGGTGCACTTCTAAGTCTTTTAGCGCTTCCTAGACCGTTGCCGCCCCCCCCCCCCCCCCCCTGCTCAGAGGTGATGGGGAAGTCTTGTTTCCCAGTCCATGCGAGTTGCTTTTGGTTGGTGGGGCTGGCTCAATGAACCCACCTGGAGACGAGCTGCTTTCTTGACGAGGCTTAAGGCACTTCGTAACATACTAATGCTTAAGGTTGAAACAGCCTCATTAGAAGGGTCTTTTATTTAGAGCTAACAACAGGAACGTATTGATTTTACCTTTTTACCTGGCCATGGGAGATCTTTCAGGACTACAGGTCTCTCCTCCCCATTCGGATACAGAAGTTTTTGAAGTTGTTCTCCAACTGTTGTCATTTTCGTGATCAGCACATCGAGAACTGCAGGAATCAACGTAAAACACCCAAATCCCCATAAATCCCAATCTCAAACCGAGGTGATAACAGCGGCGGCTGCACTGTCGTCTGCTGGGGGAGTGCTGAAAGCAGTGCTACCAACAGAATGTGTTGCCAACTGCGCGCCTGCTCAAAATTAAAAGTCGGCCGATTACTGCAAACGCAAGGAATCTGAAAACCGCTCCGTCCTGGGGTTCAATTGATGCCATCTAGTCTAAATTCAGGCGGAACAAACAAGGTTCATTACGTGACTTTTAAGAGATGGCCAAAACGGCATCTAAGCACGAA